CCGCCGCCTCCATGTCGCCGGAGAAGCGCCGGGCGCGGCCGCTCAGGCCGTCACGGCTCCCCCGCGGCCGCCGCCGCCCGCCGTCGCCGCCCGCCCGGCCCGCGCTGCCGCCGCCGCCATCTTGGCTCGCCGCCCTCAGGGCGCGGCGCGCTCCGCCCGCGCCCCTTTAAGGGCGCAGGGGGCGGGGCCCGGCCGGGGCGGGGCCTGAGGCGGGCCCGGTGCGGGGGCGGGGCTTGGCCCGCGGGGGCGGGGTCTCGCTGTCTGGACGCGCATGCGCGCTGGCTGTGCTCAGGGGGCGTCGCGCAGTGCGGTGCGGTGCGATCCAATGGAGAGCAATGGAATCAATGGAATCAGTGGAATCCATGGAATTCATGGAATCAATGGAATCAATGGAATCCAGTCCAACGCAGGGCTGTGGAATCGAACCCAGTCCAGTGCAATCCGATGGAGGCCAGTGGAATAGAATCCAATTCAATGCAATGGAGTCCGACAGAATCCAATCCAGTCCAATGCAATCCAATTGCCAATGTGATCCAATCCAGTGCAATCCAATGCAATCATGGAGTCCAATGGAGTCCAGTGGAGTCCAATGGAATCCAATGGAGGCCAGTGGAATAGAATCCAGTCCAATGCAATCCAGTGGAATCCAGTGGAATAGACTCCAGTCCAATGCAATCTAATGGAAACCAGTGGAATAGAATCTAATACAATGCAATCCAATGGAATGCAATGGAATCCAGTGGAATAGATCCGGTCCAGTGCAATCCAATGGAATCCAATGGAATAGAATCCAATCCAATGGAATCCAATCCAATCCAATCCAGTGCAATCCAATGAATCCAATCCAATGCAATCCACTGCTGTCCCATCCAATACAGGGCAATGCAGTGCAATCCAGTACAATCCAATGAATCCAACCCTGTCCAATCCAGTGCGGGCAATCCAGTCCAGTCCCTCTAGTGTGGAGCTGCCAAGGGCTGAGCCCCCTCCCAGTGTTGGAGCTGTGACCCTGTCCCAGCTGCTGGCAGCCTGTGGTGCACATCTGTAGCCACCAAGGGCTCCTGGAGGCTTGGACACTGCCACACCAGGCTGAGGTGCCACCTCAGTGGTTGTGTGACTGAGCTGCCTGGTGCCACCCCAAAAACAGTGCTGAGGAGCTGGGCTGATGGGCCAGACCTCAGGAATAAGCCCAGAGTGAACTCGGGGTGCTGTTTGGGGTGATTTACTGACAGCATGGACTTCACTTTCACTGTTCTGCTCAGCATGGGGAAGTGTTTCAAGCCTGAACACGCTAAAAGATCTTGCCAAGAATTTGTAACAGAAGTGGAGAATCTAAAAGATGGCAAGCAAACTCTCCTCAGCCTTTTCCCTTGAGCTGAACCTGAGCTGCCCTGAGGGGAAGTCATACTATGGCAACCTTTCTGACAGGCTCAGAATGCCTGTTCTGTTCCTGCCTCACCAGGAACAGAAAATTGCAGGAGAGAGGATATAATGAGTTTCTTTTGGAGTATCTGAGTGTATTAAAATTGAGAGGTTATCTAGAAAGATTATGTTTTGGCAGAAGGATGCATCAAGCATCCATCAAGGCTTTGAAATATACTCTGTGCTACATTACACACAGAAGGATTATGTTTTGGACTGTCAAATCAAGGAGATTTTGTTAAAAAGTACTTTCCAGCAGAATGAAAGCAGCATCTGCCTGCCCTTCCTTATGCTACCTAAGAGAAGATGCAATTAGCTCAGCATGGTGTCATGAAGTGCAAATGCCCTGGCTGGATGTGTGGAGCTGCAGGGGCAATGCTGGTGTCTCACAGATGCCATCAGAACTGCAGTGGCAGATGAGCAAACACACCTCTGCAAAAAGAACTGGAAAAACTCATTTTGGGGTGTTTCTCACTGAAAAATGTTTTTCCTTGGTCAGGATGAAGCTGAAGGATGATGTGCAAAAGGACAAAAGAGAGAGAGTACAGGCAGCCCAACAGGGATTTTCTAATGCTATCCCAGCATCAGGAACTGCTGCTGAGCTCAGCCTCTTCATGAGATAGTAAGTGGGTTTGGAGAGCAACTTTAATTAAGCTTCCTCTGAATGTCCCATCTCCTTAATTAAATAAAAATTTGCAGCCCGGCTGTCGGGTTTGATCAGTGCCCGTCTCCTCCTGAAGCAGTTCCTGCCTGCAGGCACAGCAGTGGCTCATGGTGTGACAGCCCTGTCCTGGCTCACAGAGGAGAGGAGCAATGTGCCTGTGGAAGGGGGAAAATGGGTTCTCCTTCAGCTAAAATATTCCAAGTAGTGTTTAGGAAAGAGTACATTAAATAATTCTGCTGTTGCTGGGTCTGGACTCTCAGGGCCATGTGCCCAAGGCAGGGAAGGGGGATATGGAGCATTTTGCTGCAGTTTGGAGCCATGACACAGCCAAAGGAGCCCTGTAAACATCCCTAATCTCAAATAAAATTGCAATTTAGTTGAGCTTCTGTCCTTTATTTCTTTACATTTGATGTCAAGAATGCCTCTGCTAGTTTTGCAGTGGGTTACAGCAGCTTGGAAATGAGAACCTGAAATGAAGTTTTGGAGGAAAAAAGCCAAGTAAAGCTTCCCAGTTGTCTTGGTAGCTTGGAGGGACTGACAAGTGGGACAGCATGTCAGGATGCAGCTGGAGCTAGCAGTCTGTACCTGACCCCAGTGAGAGCTGGTGTGTCACCGGGCCAGCTGTACCCAGATTTAAGGCACTTGTGCTGGCAGCCTCCTCGGGCTGTGGATAGCCACACTCCCTGTCTGCCACGGGGCTCAGGTGAGGAGGCACAGGAAGCAGCAGGAGAGGGTGGTTTTCCCTCAGAACAGCCCATACCTGCAGTAGCTCCTTCCTGTGCTTTGCATGGCAGAGGCTTTGGGTTTCCCTACAAAACCCCAATTCCCAATCCTTTTGTAAGCAAACAACTTCGGAGAGCCAGGGGATGCTGGAAGCTTTGTCTCCAGGCAGCCGGCGGGGAGGCAGGGGTTGGCACAACGCCACTCGCCTGCGCCTCCTTCCCCGGGAGGAACATCACCTCCCTCCGCTGCCAGATGGGATTTCATCCTTTCCTCTGGGCTCAGCTCTGGTTTGTAAGTCTCTGCCTCCATCAGATGTTCACAGAAGTGCAGCTTTCCCATGCCAGTAGGGTGGCAGCAGCCCAAATTTCCCCTCTCTGAGCACACAGAGACCCTTCCTCCAACATCCCAGCCTGAATTTCACCCCAGCTCTCCCCAGCAGACCTTTTAAAGGCAATGTTGGAGCTGTCTCTCCTGCGCTACATTGACCCTAAATATATTCTGACACATCCCAGGGGCTGTTTTCAGGGTGACTCAGAGCCATCACTTCCCAGGATGGAGGGACAGGGCCAGCCGTGATTCCTCAGCCCCTGTCCTGGAGCCTGCTAGTGCCCAGAGCTGGCACCTGCCACCTGCAGTGAATCCCAAGGCCAGAGAAGCAGTCAGGGGCTGGGGCTTGCCTCGGGGCAGCGGTTCATTGGGAAGGTCTCTCTGGGGTTGCCCACGAGGTTTTGGGGGGTGGTTTGGTTCTGGGGAACAGCAGGTCTCCCATCCCAGCCTGTGCTCTCGCCTAAGAACAGGCTCCTTTAACAAAACTACTTCCCTCTGCTGCTGTTTCTGACTTCCGTGTGTTAAAGGCAACCAAAATATTAAATACATTCAAATTAGTAAGACTAACTGCTTCAAAAAATGTAACAATTTTCCCTTTTATTCCATCTGCTACGCCTATGCTGAGCAGAGGCAGGGCTGGGCTGAAGCCTGGGAAAATCAAGGCCAGCAGGTGCCCACAAGACCACAGTTCCTATCAGGCTCTGTAGTGATTTAATCTTTCAGGACTCAAAACCTGGGAGAATACGATGTGGGGATGGCTTTGTGCTCACCTGCATCCCCACTTTGTGCTGACACCACCTGGTTAATGTTGCTTTGGCTTGGGCATTCCACAGGGACTGCAGGTTTTTCCATGCAGCATGATTCTTCTTAAAGGTGGATTTGTAGTAAAGATGAAAACTAGCAGTTGCATTAATTTTATTTTTAATTTTGCAAACTAATTTTGACATGAGCCAGCTGGAGGTGAGACCTTGCCACCCTGTGGTGCCAGAGCCATCTGTAGCCCCTCTGGACACAAGAGGGAGTCCTGAATCATTGAAAAGACAGGTTTGTTTGCTGTGGATTAAAACACTTTTTGCTGCACTGAGAAAACTGCTCATCACTTGGAGGCCTTTGGTGTTTTTTGCTCTCCACTGTGGCAGGGTAAATCTATGGTAAACCCACAGTAAATCCAGGAGTGTGCATTTTGGCTGTTTGCAGTGGGGACAGATCAGCGAGCTGGCTGGGTGAAGTGAGTCATGACTTCCCAAAGGACTGGCAATTATCCCTGGAATCAAACAGGGTTGATACCCCCATTTTGATAGCTGATCCCCACATTTTGCTGCCCTAGCTGAAAACAGAAAACTGTGGCAAAGCTCCATGTGTCTCCACGCTACTGTCCGTGGCACTGGGACTGCACATTCCCCCCAAGCCCTCCCGAGGCCATTGGCCCCAGCTGCAGGTCCCCCGTGGATTTGGGGACACGCAGCAGAGGGGACGAGGGGCCCTGAGACCCCCTGTTCCCACTGCCCTGGGGGACATTTGCTCCTGGACAGGGATATTTTGGGACACGTGCCTTTCCTCTAATACCCGATCCTATCTGGCACGGTATAATCTTTCTAACGCAGCTCCCAGGGGGAACACTCTGGAGGTGGAGGTGACACGATGGCACGGCTCCAGCCAGGACAGCCAAGAGCCGCGATACATCAGCAATTCCGGCAGGTCTTGCTCAAAAGCGGTGGCTTGATCCCACAACAGAGTCACGAGGAAAGCTCCAGCTGCTCCGGAGCGGGGCCGGCGCTGGCGCTGCCGCTGGCCCGGACGTGCCAGCGCCGGGCTCGGTGGTGTCCCCGTCCCCAGGCACGCAGGCCAGGCATTCCTGGGGGGCCGGGCATGCGGGGCTGGCCCCAGCCCCCTATATCAGCCCTGCCCGCGGGGCAGCGCCGGCAGAGTGACCGCGACAGCCCCCGGCCCTCGCCCAGCCATGGATGACATTTATAAGGCAGCGGTGAGTGTCTCCCCGCGGGGCTGTGGGCTGGGGAGAGGGGGGGTCTGAAATGGATCTAAGGATTTTTGTTGTAGGTTCCAATAATTCAGTGAGAAATGAAAATGAGAAATAATTATAAGGCAGCAACTCTTAGTCAACGTCCTCATCCAGGACACAGACCTTTCCCTATCATGGCTCTGGAAGTTTCACACTCCTCTTAAAAGTGTGAAACTCTTAACAATGACCCCCTGGTTCCCCACTGAAAAGCAGGGAGATGGCTCCTAGGTGAAGATATAAATCTCAATAAAACCTGCAAGGCATAAGAGATGACTCTTGGTTTTAGCCCAGACAAAGCAGAGGAGGATTTCCCAGAAAATAAACATTATTTTTATGGGTTAAAACTCACCTTCTTTCTGGTGCTTTACAATTCTGCCATTGCTTTGTTCCCCCCCTTCTTAGCTGAATATTTTTCAGAGAGATTTTAAAAAACCCTCGTTTTTTTCTCAGTTATTTCCAAACCTCCTCCTCTGCTTTGCTGCTCCTGCTCTGTGCTGTGCAGAATCCAGAATGTGAGCTATGCCCTGGGGAACGTGGAGCATCCTTGGGCTATTTTAACTTCCACAGCTGCACACTGTGCTCACTGTGTAAACCCAAACTATTTGGTCTGTAATAAGAACACTGCATTATTCTGTAACGTAGGCAGACAGAGATGTGCAAGTGGATTAAGGATGAAAATAGAGTCTGGATTGTGTGGATTGCTATTGCATCCATAACTGGATTTACAGTAAGAGCTTTTTGGTGCTTTTCCCTCCTTAAATATACAGCTGATCAAGTTTGATTTTAAGCAAGAGCACAAAAAATGCATCATACCAGTCTTATTATTATGGCAAGGTTTTTAGAGGGAAGGAATATCATCCTTGGTAGGTAACTGAAAAAAAACCCCAATGCTCACACATCCCCTGTCCTTTGGTCAGCCTTGAACCTTGGAAATGGAACCCCTGTAGTGACCCTGATAGTGTGAAAAGGTTCAGGAAAGGTTGAGTCCCCCAACCAACACCTTCAAAACGGAGAAAAATGGAACCTGTAAAATCAAAGGAAATCCAGGCCTTTCTAATTAAGATTTTTAATTAAATAAGTTCTCTGTGACTGAAGGTACAGGCTCTTTCCTCATTGCATAGGGATCACATAGCCATTAATTAGGTAAATGTAGGGTTTGAGTCCTGGGCATTAACTCCCAGCACCTTTACAGAGGCAAAACAAGTCCAAGCCAGGCACAGCTGAGACAAACAGCTCTTTTGTGGAGCTGTTTTCTATTTCCCTCAATTTAGACTGTAAAGAAAACATTTACCTGTGGAAGAAAAAAATTAAGAACTTCAGTTTCCCCTGACTTCCAACAGAACCATGGGATGGAGAGAAGAGCTTTTAAAAGCAAAATACAGCAGATTTGGCACTACCACAGCTGCTGCAGTGCTGTGAGCTTAGAGCCTGCCTTCCCACACTGCAGTCAGAAAAACCTGTTCCTGGAATGATGTGGAGGGAAAAGAGGAATAAGGTAGCAAACAGCACCCACGTCCAGAATGAACTACGAATATCTCAAGAGACATTTTTGTGACAAAAATATCACTCTATAGCAACAATGCATTTAATTTATATACACATCTATCACTTCAGTACTCAAGGAGGCTTTAAAATGGAATAGCTGTGTATTTTATGCATGTTGATAGCGTATATTAATATTACATTTATGCCAAATCCCCTACGTGCAGTCAGAGGACCCAATGGATTTTCATCTTACCCACTCATGCCTAGATAAGGGTGTGCAAACACAAAACTATTTTGGGAATATTTTTAGGCTCTGTTAAGTGGTGCCTAGAACAGTGCCAGGGACAAGTGTCCAGATAAAGGGCTGCAAGGATAAATACCAAAGCCTGGGAACAATCAGGGAGCTCATCTTTATCTCCAACACCTCTCACCCAGGCTTATAAATAGCGACTGCGCCAGGAGTGTCGTGTTACAGAGCAGGACGTGGCTGTGGCCATCGTGGTGGTGGCTGCCCTTGCTCTGCCCAAAAAATGTCTACAGAGGGCCAGCAGCTGCCTGCTTGCCTTCAGCAGCACCAGAAACACACTGGGCTTGGGTTTCCTCCAGCAGTGGAGAAAAATCCTGCCACCGTCCTTAGTGCTTCTGCCAAGTCCTCACCTCCTGGAGCATGGGGAGTGGGATAAAATGCTCTGCCTGCTCCCACAGGCTCTGACCTGCTAAGGAAAAGTATTTTCTCTGCTTCTTGCTGCAAGCAGGAAGAAGCAGCTGGCTTTTGCAAAACCATTGTCCTTCGGGGCAAAAGAATCAGTTTTCACTCAAAGACACAACCCTGGGTTTTGGGGTCCTGCCCAAACACAGCATGGCAGGGATGGGTGTTGGGGGCCACTGGCATTGGGGTGGCAGCAAGGAGAATTTAGTGGGGTCAGATAGGGCAGGCATGGGTCCCTACCAGGCTGGATCTAGAGAGGCTGTTGACCAGCACAGGAAGGAGAAGTTGATGTTTTCATGGATGCTTCCAAAGGGGCAGTTGGACATGGTGGTGAGGGCAGCAAGTTCAGCTAAGCAGTACCTGGAATGAAGCCAAAGAGAGAAAGGCACTTAAACAGGTATGACACAGAGCTGATTGATTTCCCTTTGCTCTCCTCATTGATTATTTTCATTAATTCATGCTAATAAACTCCCACTACCATCAGTCTGTGGGGATTGAATTAGGGCAGAGTTTGGGAACAGTCTGCCATCCCATGTCAGCAAATGCCTGTTGGCTCCACAGGCCATTTCTTCAGAGATTCCCAAAACAGACTAAAGGGAATAGCAGCTCCCTTCAGAGCCAGACACCTTTGTAATAACACTGGCTGAGATGGAAGCAGAGCAGTTAAGCTCTGGATAGGGCAGCAGTTTCCTGAATCTAGGCCTGAAAAACAACTACCAGGGATAGTCTTGTCTACCTCTCCCTCTCCAGGGAACTCTCAAGCACATCTCATCTCATCTCTGATCTGGCATTGGCCCACATGTGAGCAGTCCTCAGCAGTGCAGCCATTCTGTAGTGGAACCTGCCAGCCACAAGAAATTCTCCCCAAATGGATGACAGAGGCATATTCTTTTCCCAGCAGTCTTTCCATGCTTGTACAAAGGCTATTTCTGCCATGCATTAGCATCTACTACTTTGGAGAGGTTATGTTTACTTTAAAGGAGATGTGAATAACTTTTTTAAAGGGAAGAATCTCTTTGACTACAAAAACTTGTTGTGTCAAAACCCCTCTGGCTGTACATTTCCTAGTCCATGAGGTTACTTCTTGTGAGGTTTAGTTGACCCTGGCAAAGGCTGTTGAACCAACAACATGTCCTTTAGCAATTAGCGATGCTGGCAAAATTAAAATTACTTGGTGTCTGTGTTTTCCTTACAGGTTGAGCAGCTGACAGAAGAACAAAAAAATGGTAGGTGCATCTTCAACCTGACACCACAGCCTGAAGTAGAGCTCCCCAGCCAGCAGCTCTGCCTGCCTCAGCAATAATGCTCTGGAAAATTCTTTGGCCACACTGGCCAAGGCAGGGCATGACCCAGGGATTTTGATCCATCAGCATTCCTAGGAAGGCAGTTTCTGTGGTGTGCCTGGAGTCCCTCAGTGCCATGCCTGGGCACTGCTGGGGTGCACAGTCAGGGGAGGCTGTGCCTGGGATGAGCCCCCTGCCTGCAGGCTCCAGCTGCAGGGCAGGACCCCCTCACATCTCCCCTCCCCTCTCTCTCCAGAGTTCAAGGCTGCCTTTGACATCTTCGTGCTGGGGGCAGAGGATGGCTGCATCAGCACCAAGGAGCTGGGGAAGGTGATGAGGATGCTGGGGCAGAACCCCACCCCTGAGGAGCTGCAGGAGATGATAGATGAGGTGGATGAAGATGGTGAGAAGTTTGGGTTTCTTCCACTCTCTCAAGGACCATCCCCACGTCTGGGGGTGTGGGGGCCATCTGTGCAGTGCTGGCAGGATCTGTGCTGGGACAGTCACAGCTGTGGGGTGCAACCTGCTGTGAATTCAAAGGACTTTACCCACCAAACCTCAGCACAGTTCCTTTATGGAATATCTAGGCAAAGAGAAACTATAGAATTTTTTATTCCTACAACGATCAGACTGCTTGAACTGATTTTGAGGGGGGGGTACTGTGAAATCGTACAGATCCTTTTAAAAAACAAAATACAGGCTGAATGTAGGAACTGCCATTTCAGAAATGCCAGTTAGAGGAATCTGCCATCAGGAAAGTCTCTCACTGCTCAATTGTCCACACCCCCACATAACTAACTGTCAATACTGATTAAATCAGTGTACTGATGATCACACATAACAAAATCCACTGTAGGCACTTGGGCAGAAATACCACACTAAGTAACTGGAAAATAAAAAAGCAGTTAAAAATCAGGCAAAAAAAGAAAGCATCTGAGTAATTGAAAACAACACTACTATAGTGTGAGTGCAAAACCACACTACATGAATACCTGCCTTCTGGAGCTTTCAATATTAATACCTAAATGAGATGGACAGGTATCTCCATAGCAGGAATTTCCATTCCTTGGTGCTTCCAGAAGTACTTTTGCCAAGGCAAAATGACTGTGAAAGGCAAAACTTCACTTACGAGGTCAGAGAAAGGCCTCAGTCACTTATTCCAGCATCCTGAGAGCTGACTCTTGCTGCAGGGCTACTCTCCTGAGTTTTGGCCCTTGGCTGCTGAAGGGAAGGGTGATCCCTCATTGGCATTGCCCGTCCACCCCTTGTAGCTCCAGCTGATGGCTCCAGCTGGGCTCCCCTTTCCTGCATTCCTCAAGCCCAGTATGAGAAGAGACTGAGGCTTCAGACCTTGTATATTCTTCCAGTTTGACTTGTAGAGGCACTGTCTGATGGCAGTCTTTGTTTTTAACTTTAACAATAATAGGTTTAACATCACCACTTAAGGTTTTGGGGTTCTGAGTTCATGTGGCTGTGCAGGGAAGCTGGGTGGGCCAGTCTGGTGGTGCTGCTCATGGAGAAGTGTGGAGCTCAGTCAGGGTCCCAGTGCTGGCCAGCTGGCCCCAGAAAGCTCATTCTTCCCTCAGGCAGTGGCACTGTGGACTTCGATGAGTTCCTGGTTATGATGGTCCGGTGTATGAAAGATGACAGCAAAGGAAAAACTGAAGAGGAACTCTCAGACCTCTTCAGGATGTTTGATAAGTAAGAGCCATGAGCACAGCAAGGTGGGGGGGGAGGGGTTCAGCCAGCCTGGCCCCCTCCCCAGCTGCTCTGTCTGGTCCTGAGCTCTTCTGTCCTGGCACAGAAATGCTGATGGCTACATCGACCTTGAGGAGCTGAAGATCATGCTGCAGGCAACAGGAGAGACCATCACCGAGGATGACATAGAAGAACTGATGAAAGATGGGGATAAAAACAACGATGGCAGGATTGACTATGATGGTAGGACTCTTCCTTGCACGTGGTTTGGTCACAAGCCCTTGGTCATGCCCCTGGGTAGCTCCCATGGTCTTGGTTGAGCACAAGCTCATGCAGGCAGTGCTGGGCCACACATCTGAGAGGAGCATGTGTGCACAGGGATGAGGGGGTTCTTACACTCGTGAAATGGGAGCAAGGACCTGGGGCTGCCTCACCTGTCCCTTGCTGCACTGAAGCACTGCCACTTTTCAGCAGTCCCCTCCTGCCCCCTTAACACAAGCACCATTTCTAAGGGGCTGTATCTTTGAATGTGCTGCAGACAAAATGATGCCCAGACCATGTGGTGGCAGCTGAGGGTGAGGCTGGGCTCCAGTGACATTTCCAGCAGGAGTCACAAGGAGTCCTCACCACAGTCAGAGGAAGAGTAGCCATCCCCCCCTTGGCCTCTCACATATCGTGAGGGTGGAAAAGGAGTCAGGGCTGGGAAAAGCTGCCAAGCTTTTAGCAGCTGTGAGGGCACTTGGGTCTCACCTCACACTCTTGTCTCCAATGTCTTCCCCTTGGCAGAGTTCCTGGAGTTTATGAAGGGGGTTGAATAAATCTGAGGTCAGATGGACAGCTTGAATCTCCTAAACCCTCCAGCCCTGCATCTCATCTCCTTGACTAAGTCCCCTGGCTACCAGCATGAAGACTGAGTGCTGAGAAGGGCGGCCAGGGGGAAATAAAACCTGTTAATACCCAGTGCCTCAGCTGGTCATTCCTTGGAGGTTCAGTGACAGCTTCACACGTTGTGTACTCATGATTAATGAAACCACTGCTGAGGACTGCTTCTGGCAAGGTGACATCACAGCTGGAGCTTTAAGCCTCCAAGGAGGTATCCTGCTGCCAGCCCAATGGCAAAGTCCATCCAACAGGGCCATGGGTGCACGGTGGGGAGCCATGTTCCATCTCCTCACCCTGCCATGAGACTCAGAAGCTGGCACTGGTGCCTGCTGGTTTAACTGGAGTGCTGGCAGCATTTTAGCAATGAAATATGAATGAAAACCCCCTTCAGCCATCACTGAAATCCATGTGCCAGGGACAGTCCCTCTCCTCCCTACTCTCACCCTGGCTATCCTGAGGGTACACCGCCTCCTCCTTCCTGCCAGCCTGACTGGCACCTTGTAATGCCAAAAGAAGACCTCAATTTGCTTTGGAAACATGAATAAAAGCCATTCCTGAGCTGGACTGGATGCTCCTTCCTGTCTCTCTCAGCCTAGTGGGAGGCAGGTAGTCATAGTCCTCCTGCAGCCCTGGGTGGGAGCCTCACTACAAAAAATGAGACACCCAATTTTCCCTGGCAAATCACATCAATTTGAGCCACTGAGAAATGCACAACCAGACTCTGGCTCTCAGCTCCCAGGCACAGGGTGACAGCAGGGCCAAGGAGCTGCGCTGTCCCCAGCACCGTCTCCTCTCATCCCAAGGAAGCACAGCATTCCTGTGGCATTAGCAGCTCTCCCTGCACATAGCTGCCTCCTCCCATCAAATTACAGCCCCAGCACAACTCACACATTGCAGTCGTGTTGCTAAAGTCAATCGTTTACCCAAGCAAAATAAACATTGGCAGGGCAAGCACGGGACTGTGTTGGTGCAAGCCCCAGCGATGCTGCCCTCAGCCCTGGGTGGCCACGCTGCTGGGTCAGTGCCTCACGTCTGCTGGGTTGTCCTTCTGCCTTTCCTCCCAAAATTAGATTTTTTTTTCCCCACTTCTGTGGCAATAACACTCTAAAGCAGCTGCAACATAATCTCATTTATAGCAATAATGATATATTGCAGTTCAGGGAAAAGAGGGATGAGAGAGGTGGTTGATTGTTTGCAAGGACATGGTTGTGTCTTTCCTCTGGACAAGCAGCACTAAGTATTTTGCTCAACCAAGGCTTATAACAACAGAAAAACTAAGAAAATGAACCTGTCAGCTAGAAACCTAGGGTATTTTGGAAACAGCCCTAATGCAAACATCTGTTTGACCCACTCAGAGGAGTCTCCCCAAGGGTTCCAAGCCCTTGATGCCATAGCTACTGCAGATTCAGCAGGATTACAGGTGCACCAGAAGGCAATGGAAATATGGGTCTAAGAACCCTGGGACAGGAAATGCTCCCAGGTGTAACTAGATTCTGTTTCCAACTAATCTGTAGCCTAGAGATGAAAAAGAAACATTTTCCATCTCTGCAGTGTAGCAGCAGCAGTTGTTTCCCACTGAAACCTGTGAGGACGCAGAATGTTTTACCCCAGGCCTGGAACCTCCAGAGTGGCCAATAGCTGGGATTCAGGCAGGAGCTGAAGTGATGCCAGCTGTCCCCACACCCATGGCCACCCAGCCCACGGGCAACCTGCACTCACATCACATCAGGCAGCACTGACAGACCACTTATCCTCCTCTGCCCTGGCCCAGTTCCAGCATCCAAGAAGGACTTCTCCAAGATATTCTCCACTGCTTACTGATAGGTTTTGGCTCCCTGGAGGGTGAACAAGAAAAAAAATAATGTTAACCCCTTTCCTTCAGTCAGCTTGGTAGCTTGGACTGTGCTGTGACCCAGGGCAAAGGCTGGCAGGGAAGAGCCACTTGGCCCACTGTCTTGGCTCTTCCCCCTTGGCTCAGTGGCACTGGCAGCAGAAAACCACAGCTGCACCTGCTGCCCACCCTTTTCCAAGAGTAACACAGGGGAAGGTGGTGCCTGGAGAGAAGATAAAGGTCTTGTAACAGCCAAAACTTGCCACTAGAAGAGCAGATACACTGGGTCTATTAGTCCTTAGAACAGAAGATTGGGAAGCCAGGAAAACTGCTGCCAGGCTGGACTGCCTTAACACATGGCCTGTCCTCCCAGTCAGACAGCAAATGCTGCAGGGTGAGAAGCTGTGGGTGGATTTCACAGTTGGCTGAAACACAGGAACAACTGCACAAGGAATGTAACATGACATGACAGGCCAGCGAGTGGGTGAGCAGGCTGAAAAAACAGTCCCCACTGGAGGATCAGCCTGGCTGAGCCCCCACACAGGGGATGTGCTAACAGTGCATGAAAACCACCCTGAGGAATCCATGGATCTGTGCAACTCCAAATCAGTTTGCAGTTTTCATTGCACGTGTAGTGAACCTCTGGTGCTCAAAAGCATTTGAGGTATGTGACAGAAGTCCACATTGTCTGGGAAGAAAAAGCAATTAATTTTTTATTTTATTTTATTTATTTATTTATTTTTTTACAGCAGGCAAAAAGCCATTTACCAGTCTCTAAAACAGTCCCTAGATCTGTGTGCTCTTACCTCCCCAGCAGAGACAGGAGCTGTGCAGGCAGGTGACAGCAGCCCATGCCACCAGACACAGCCACAGTTCTCAGGCCATTCATCTGCTTGCCTTTGCTGTAGACTTAAACTCCTGCTTTGGTTTACAGCTTTATCAGTGTATTTGAGGCCTCTCCTCAGCCCTCAATAAAACTTTGCTGTGTGTACCAAGTGACTGAAGGAAGCTTAGATGAAATTTCGTACTCTCCCCTAATAAAATCTCTGCCTAAATCTGCCAACAGGGCAGTGCCAGTGTAACATGAGCTAAGTACATCAGATAAACACTTCACCAAGCCTAAGCCCCTGTGGTGTAGAAACACCTGCAACAGCCTTGAAACTTGGGTGAAGCAGAGCTCCTGTTCTGTTGCTGCTTCTTTTTGACCACACTAGGCAGTAAAGGGGGACACAGCAACACCTGTCCAGCCCTACTTTTTATCATCACTGTGAACATCCATGTCCCCAGTTAACGCCTTGCCCCATCAGAGCATTTTGCAGGGCTTTGATTTCCCACTCCCCCGGTTCTGTGCTCTTGGCTTTCAGAGCAATGGCTCACCTTTGCCAAACGAGATGATTTGGCATTTGGTTACACGCCCTTTGCCTTTTTTCTTTTTTAAGTCAAAGCAGAGAAAGGAGCCAAACTGGAACTTGATACTGAGTCCTCTTAATTGCAAAGGGGAGAAGTAATCTGCAGCAAGTATGACGTACAGCAGCAGCAAGCATGAGATGAATAAGCTGATGTACAGCAGTTGTTCAGCACCGAGATGCTTTTGAGCTCTTTGTCTTCCTGCAGGATGCCAAACACTTCATCACAAGAGTTTTGAAGTTTTCAAGTATCAAAGATGAGACAGCTCTGCGTAATAGGAATAGTTTCAAGTAGGCCACAGCTGCAGGTTCCCCCTCCTGGGCTCTGTATATGTCATGTCCTCAAAAAGGATCTCCAACCTCACTTCACCAATCAAACTTAAATAATTTCACACTGCCAGAGAAAGAGGATGGAAACCCACCCAGAGGCAGAGTCAGCATAAAACTCCCCCCGACAGCTTCACCTTCAGGGCTGGGACAACTGTACAGAGAGGAAAGCTGTGAACACAGGTGTCACAGGGCTAGCAAATGCAATAGGTGGTCACCGATGTCCAGGCAGTGCCCTGCAGAACCACCACGTGTGCAGGGAGCACACAACAAACCTGACACCTGCTGTGGAAGCTCACAAAATTCCTCTCTCTTGCTACACAATGATGCCTGGATTAAGGTTACGTTCCTCTGTGCTGCATTTTGTCACGCAGCCGCTATTTTGGTCAGAAAGTCAGCAAGCCCTTATTTGGGAAGCTGTCCCACTGAAGGGCAGCATGAAGGGCAGCGAGATGAAAAGGCTGCTTCTGAAGGCAGGCCTGGGGAGCTGCCTGGAGCCACAGGAAGCCCAAATTTCACCCTCTGCTTCTTGTTAACATTCCAACATCCTCTTCTCAGCCTGGCCCTTGCCTCTCTTCCCTCAGACTGCATCTTGTGGGCGAGCTACTCACAACACAAGCACTCTGACAAGACTTCAAGGGGGTTGAGATGAAATCTCCCTTCTTACCTTTTTCTTATGGAAAAGTTGTAGTGCTAGAGATTTAAAATGCAGAACTGACACTGGGCAGAAAATCTGCAGACACACAGGTAAAGGTGTAAAGTGACAAACACTAAGTGCTCTGTTCAGAGGTTTTTTCCTTTTGCTCTTTTAACACACATCTACACCAGACTGATCACACTGACCCTCACTGGACCAGCCACTCCCATCTCCTTCAGTACCAGCAACAACTCCACTGTGTGCCTTTGTGCCTTAATCATCTAGCAAGCAGTGGAGTGAGCCCTGGCAATGAACTGTCATGCTGCTGCTTAATATTAAATTGGGTTTTTACTGATACTTTGCTGGTGATCCTCTAAGTTCCTCAAACACTTGTTTTTAACAGGCTGACAAACACCAACCTCCATAAAAGCCCAAGAGATGCACACAGCAGGAATCAGACAGCTGAGGGCTACAGACACCCCTGACTTTACAACCCCCTTGACTTGCAAGTTCCAAATTAGTAAATCTCTTTATATTGCTTTGTTTTAAGGTGGGTGGGTTTTCCTCATCAGTCAAAAACAATTAAAAAGTTGGAACTGGGGAAAGATTTTTGAATGTAAGCCAGAAAGAGTTCAAACTAATGCATGTAATTTTGGTAATTGACGAAACTATTCAAAAAATAAAGTACATTAATTGGATGTTCTAGTTAATTTTTTTTTCTGCTCTACTGCAGTCAGAAGGTCCGTGTGAACTTCCAGCCCTGCTGCTTTACCCCATCGGGTGGACAAGCACAGAACTGCAATTCCAGAGCAGCTGGCTGCATTCCAACAGGTGCCTCCTACCAGAAGTGGCAAGCAAAGCCTGGGTCAGCTTTGAGGGGG